TTTATCTAAATCTTACATAATGTATCTTTAAGTTCAATTTTAAATCTCTTGATTTGGATGGCTTCTTGCAGTAGTTTTCTAGGTTTCTTGTTGTGAAGATGTTTATTTAGCGCTTTGACCGCAGAATAGTTTACTTTGTGGCGTTTGTTCAGGTTTAGGTGCTCATACATAGCTGATTTGTTGTCTGTACTTCTCGATTGGTGTTGTTTCAACCTCCTTACAAGTGTGGATTTCGTTTCTTCGATGTATTTCATTGAACATGAACACGTAGACCTTGGGTTGTTTAACTACTGAAGATAAATTGGCAACAAGGTTGCCTTTTATGGTTTTACCAGTCTGAAGTAGACTTTGATACCAGCTTCTTAGAGAATTCTTCTTATCTTGTAAGATATATTTTCCTTGAAATGGCTCTCGGGAGATCTTCTTTAGGTGGTCGGGCATTAGTCCTGTTAATAGTTGACGTAATGCAGTTGTTTCTCAACGAGCCCTCCGGGGTACTGATTAAGATTAATAAACACGTTTTTGATATGGTATAACTCCTCTTCTAGGTGGCCATCACTGCAAATATTAAGGGTCTGGTGGGTGAGGGTGGCGACGATCCCCTTTTTTGTTTCAAGAGGTTGGTTAGAATGAAAATTTAGGTACTGGTCCGTCTGTGTAGGTTTCCCATAGACACTCGTTTTAATGATTCCATCTTCCTTCTTTACCAGAACATCCAGGAAGGGTACAGTTGAGTTTAGTTCCACTCTGAATTTAATTCTTGATTACTGCTTGTTCAAGTGCTCCAATAAAGAATTCGGATCGTCCTATGCATTAACCATTACAAATTTGTCATCCACTTTTCTATTGCAGCATGAGGGGGATAAAATGGTGATGATTTAATGGCATTTTCTTCACAAGATGTCATGTAAATTTCGTTAGAAGTGGAGACAGTGGGGAGTCCATAAACCTGTTCGTAGACATTGTCTCCCCAAGTGAAGCAGATTGACTCTACACAGTATTTATTGTTGAATTTAAAGTAGCTAAGTCTCTAACTCATTATCATCTAAAATCTTCAACATTGAAAACACGATTTATTTGTCAAATTAAATCAACATTCATGTTGTGATCTTACCGGAAAAAGATGGGCTTTTGATATCCAATATTTAAGACAAAATAAACATTTTACCATTGGTACACGAATCGTGTACCATAATGCGCTTCAGCCCCAGTTGTATCAAGAGGGACGAGGCTAGACACATTGCACCAAATCAAACGGTGTATGTAGACTGGAATAACCAGACGCTAGAAATTTGCACTCGCTTGAGACTTATTTCGCCAAACATAACTGATTTGAAATTGTAGTAAAAACGGAAACCATTGAATGTAAATCAGTTTATATACATTCATATTACAGTATTATATGCGTTGCGACCCACTTTTGTCAATTTCTAGGTCCGAAATGTTAGCGATTTAGCTCCTTTAAGACTCGGTAGAGAAAATCTAAGCATTTCAGATCAAGAAGAAAAAAATGAACGTATACATGTACATGCCTTAATTAAATGTAGGTACCTGTCTGCATTCCAACCTCAGCATACATCCTGTCCATGCACTGACCCGAAATGTACACACTAATCCCATGTTTGGCTCATTTAGTTCAAATAAGCCTACCAATATTTGGAAGCTGCTGCTGGCTTACAAGATAACGTCTTGGCATCGTTTATTAGAAACAATTTCACCCATAGAACTCGCAAATTTGATATAAAATTCGAGATAAAGGATGGTATTATATAGATCCATCTGTCATTCACTATGAACAGGGTTTCTTAAATCTGAAAATAATCTCTTCAAAACGATTGATTGTTACATGTATTTATAACATTTTTGCCACACCCAACTACAATTAAGAATATAATCCTAACGGACACGTCTACAAACAACCACTTATAAATCGAAGCGACAATAGCTTGATTTCCCCTTCCATTTTGGGAAGCCACGGTGGCTGGGTGGTTAAGACGCTAGCTCGCTAGCCTGGAGGTCGGGTGTTCGATCCCTGCATTGGCCGAGAAAGTTCATCTGGATTTTCCGACGTGGTTTCCCCTTGTCAGTGGTACAGAACGGAGGGCCTGACAAGGACAGCTGTCTAGTCCTTCGGATGAGACGAAAAACCGAGGTCCCGTGTATACATTGGAATGCACGTAAAAGATCCCTTGGCAGTTGGAATTCGATATAAGAGTAGGCGATAGTGCCGCTGCCCGGGCAAAATTTCCCTCATAGCACACTGTATGGCGTATGCCCGTCTTCATTAGCCCAGTATAGGAGCAGAACAGTAGGACGTTAAACCCCATTTCATTTCATTTCATTTCATTTCCTTTCCTTCCATTTTGTATTTGACATCTTAAGTCTTTGGGAAGTGCAAATCAAAGTAGGCTACTAACCGGATACGAATTTGCGTAGGTCTCACAAGCACTGTAATCATGAATGTCCATTTTAATTTTAATAAAAACAACACCGATTCACTTCATTGACAATATTAGCAGTCACACGAAAGTTGAGGCACTAGATTGGACTGCGTATAATAAGAATTTATAGTATAAAATCAACTTTTTTCTTTCAGATGTTACATGTTATACTGAAATTTAAGTTTGGCAGCTGAAACTAAAGGCAAAGGCACCCAATTTTAGCACATCAGTAGGCCTATATCTCAACGTTTTTATCACCGTTCTCGAACCACCACTAATAATGTAAACAGTAACAATATTCGAATTCCAATTGTTTGACAGCTAAAATCTAGTGCGGTATCTCCATAAATACATATTTACCAATTTTTGCAACTTAAGATTCGATTGAATGTATAATAATATTTATACTGTAAATTACAGCCTTACCTTAAAGTTGATTCGCCCGAGTGATACCTATTCGAGTTCTTTACACGTGTTTCTGTTATTTTATTAACATCTAGCAGGTTTTGCTTTCAATTTGAATTTATTAGATCTACAATGCATTTGACTAAAGAAAGTTGACCTAGATCGTGTCTGAATAATGTATCCAACTCTTGAAGCAAGACATAAATTTGTCTGTGTAAGCGCAACACTTTTAGACCAAATATTACAACAAAAACCAAAATAAAAAAGAAAAGCACGATATAGAATGCGAGAAAACTTTTAAGTAGACTTTCATCAATCATATTTCTATGATACAGTATTCACTTGAAATGGCGAACAAACAAAATGGCGATTTGAATCTCGGACTGAGTGTTACTGTGTTAGGTATATTGTGAGGGGATTTGGCCACGACAGAATTTGGCATATCAGAGTTGAAAAACAATAACAATGCATGTCTTCTTGAACACAGATTAAACAAAATATATTATCTCTCTTTCTCTCTGTTTGTCTAAAACTCTTGTTGATCTACCATTAATCTTCAACCGCGGAATGAGCTAATGGCGGACAAAATACCCCAGTAGTTCGCCGTGTACTGCTGTACTCTGTGCTCGGACACCCAGAACTAGAGGTCACAATGTTCCTAGACTCGCATAGATTATTAGTTGTTCATCATATTCTTTTTTAAATAATACTATTTACAAATAAATAAAGGGGGGGGGGGGCTTTTTAATTAAAGTCCAAGGGGCTTATGACACGGACCCTAGTCATCCACACTGTAATACATCTCTTTCCGTCTTATAACGAAAATTGCCCCAGCCTTAGCCTCAATTACCTTTTTATTGTGTTGGTGGTTACCCTCATTTCTCTACAATTCCCATTTCATCTTTGCAGCTTGGAAGCCGCTGTTATCTTTCAGAGCCAGAATGCTTGGGACCTTTACCTCTTTTTTGTGTTTCTGATTAAGTTTTGTTAATATTAGTAGGCAAACAACTGACTCACCCTAGCACAACAAGGAATTTAGAATATGAGATAAAAGCAGATATCCGTACACGAACGGGGTATGGGTATTATTAATCTTTTTCAGATGTTCAATACATTTGATAATAGCAGTAAACGTACAGAGACATACATCACATTAATATACCAGATCACTATTCCCTGAAACTTTGATATTTGGTTTGAGCCTCAGTAAGATCCCAGGGCCCGGAAAGCAATGGTGTCTAAGTCCACGGGTTTGGACGAAACGACAAGGTCACGTGTTTGCCATTGGTTCATTGAATAAGGCGCTCACTCAGTAACCAAGAGGTATTGGGTTCATTCCTGCTGTGAATTAGCTTTATTTGACGTCCGTGTCCACATAAGTGATATCGCGGACAAGAGGGCAGACTAATGACAGTCAACCTTTTAAACAAAAAAATGGATACACACTTTCAGCACAATGCACATGTTGTTTCCCCTTGATCACTGATTTTTGAAGGGCAAATGTTACTGGTATTCTTCAAAAATCGGTGAACGGCACAAATCATGACATTGTGCCGCACAGTGTCAGTGACTGGCCGCTCATTTCCAGGCATGTTTATTACGTGGAATTCCTGCATTTCTTTCCTTAATAATCAAAGTAAAAGAAATATAACAGTGAAGATATGATTTATCAGGTATTTTTGAAACTACAAATCAGCAAATAACTTAATTGTCATGTCCATGTGGAATCGTCATTTGACGGGTTTGGTAGAATACCTAGATTTGTTTTCAGATTAAGATTACTAGAATGACCCATACAACATCATCAGTAAGAACAATTCCAAATACAAAGCTAGCGCAGAACAGATTAGACACTTGTAAGCAGCAATATGTTTAAAGGAAAGAGGAGCCGGTTCCCACAAGACCCATTGTTTTCGACAATGTAACACCCTTAGTTTCTTGTCGAATGGTGAATGTTGCCTCTGTCTCGCATCCGTTCTATTTGCATAATGTATAAAATTCTCGCTAGACAATTATGGACCAGTTCCCCACAAATGTTAAAGATATGGTAGTGGGAGACTCACCTGACCCCTAGAATTGTCATCAGAAAGCATGTATTTGTAGATCATTCACACTTTATTGAGAAATCCAATTTCTGTTTGTTCATGGGATAATTTGCAGGGCCATAGTTCACTAATTCTGCCATACAACTCCTGACGGGACCGTTACAGAAGTGAAGTGAAATCTGATCTAGTTCTTAATCAGTTCTGCCAATAAAATGCTGGCCAGTCTTTCTATTAGGTACTCGATATGATGTTTTAGTGCAGCGCCCATATTTCAGGACTTACCCAATTTAAATCGGAAAAATAATTATTAACAACTTATGCAACGCATATACTTTATTCCATTTGCATAGCTCACACAATACTCGACTGCTGTGAACGACTAATAGGTAAATATAATGTAGTGATAAGTATAATGTGGTCGACCCTAATGTTAAAGAGTCAATTTGTTATTTTAGGTCAAAATGTAGTATATTGCTCCTGATTAGGTGGTCCGAGTTACTCACCCTTGATCTATCCATTCTGTCATGGTGTGCTACGTTTGCCGCCGTGTTTCAGTCAATATATCAATAAATACACAATATATATTCGTGAATCAGAGACCGCTTCAGAACACTGACTAAACACATCATATCTCGTAAATGGCCTAGACCATGATTTGGCTTAACAACGTAACTTTCCTGTTAAATATTTTCACACTTCGCGTTATTAACTGCGGTACCGCCCATATTAACAACCTTTTATGTTCAGTCCAAATAGAATCATCCTATTTACAGACCAATCATCGTTAATTTTAAGACCACACTTTTAAAAAAACCGCGGTACCATCCATATTAACAGCCTTTTATGTTCCGTCCAAAAAGAATCATCCTATTTATAGGCCAATCATTGTTAATTTTAAGACCACACTTTTCAAAAACCGATAAAAATGTCGCGGTATCTTGACAATCTAGTGAATGAGTTATGTGAATCATAATAGACGTATATGTTCCGCTTTTAACCAAGATATTCAGATTATGTATATGTTTCACAACGTGCTGTTTTATATCAATTGCGTCACTGCCATACATACACATTTTGGACATCAACCTTTCTCCTAAGTTAAAATGTTCTGTAACAGACAATGCCGTGTATGTTGATTGATCAGAACTTTTAGTGCCCCAGAATTTAAACCCGTCCATCATTAGAGGAATATTCTCAGGTAACAGACGATATGGATACCAACTGGGTAGTATTCTGTCTCCAGGAAATAATCTGGAACACGTATCTTTAGATTGGAATATTTCCTTTAAATCTCCTGCTGTCAGTTCTTGAACTTTGGTTTCATCAGATTCCATGTTATTTGGTTTAAAATCTCTTACTTCTCCAATAATCTCCACCAATACCTGCGAACGTAAGACTGATCAAAAATAAAACTCGAAATTTATGGCTGTGGATACATCCAATTTAAATGAAAAATGCAGTCATTGTGTAGGCAGTGTCTTGTTAAAGAATCTGTTATAATCAGATTTCTTAACAGCATTGTAATAATTTCATAATAAAATAATTAACTAGACCACATAAAAATGTTAAATTTGGGAATCATGATTTTATTCTTAGTAGTGTAAGTAATGTATTTCATGAGCTTACTTGCCCTAACCATCGCATTGGTTTTCAAAACGGGTTAGTCGATGTTCTTCTCGAATGTTGTCTCTATTGCAATACCGGGGGTCACGGTGGGTAAGACGCTGGTGTTCGATCCATGCATTTCCCGAGAAAGTTCTTCCAGATTTTCCGGTGTGATTCCCCCTTGTCAGTGATGTAGGACGGAGGGCCAGACATAGACAGTTGTCTAGTCATTCGGATGGGACGAAAAACAGAGGTCCCGCGTACACATTGGCATGCACATAAAAGATCCCTTGACAGTTGGAATTCGATATAAGAGTAGGCCGTAGTGTCGCTGTCCAGGCAAACTTGCCCTCCATAGCACACTGTATGGCATATGCCCGTCTTCATTAGCCCAGCTCGGAGCAGAACAATAGGACGTTAAACCCCATTTCATTTCCTATTGCAATACCTTACGGAATTTTCTTATCCGGCGCCGAACGAAGTTAGGGAGTTATGTTGAAATGGGGTCCGTCCGTCTCTCCCGATTTCTTTTCCGAAGGATATCTCATAAATCATCCAAGACATCAGCCGATTACAGTAGTTGTGCCTTTTGCTATTTAGGTATTTTTGGGATTTATATTTCTTGTGATTCCATGGAATTTTGTTTGCGGAGCATATCTCAAAAACCGTTAAAGTTATTTTTTTTTTGAAACTTTGTACACACATCAACCCATTGCTATTGTGCCCTTTGCTGTTTAGGAATTTCGGGGATTTATATTTTTTGTGTTTCCATGGAAACAAGTTTGACTTAGTTTTTGGTGTACAGTTTTGTTTCTTGAGCATATCTCATCAACCTATTAAAAGTAGTTGTGCCTATTTCTAATTTTGAAATTTCTCGGATTTAATCATTTTATTTAATTTTTATGAACAATTTTGCTTATGGAGCATTTCTTAAAAACCATTCTAAATAAAGTTTTGAAACTTTGCACACACATCATCCTATTACAGTAGTTGTGCCTTTTGCTAATTAGAAATTTGTCGGATTTAATAATTGCTGTGTATCCATGGAAACAAAATTCTCTATTGAATGATTTTTTTAATTTTTACAACACATGTGAATTAGTTTGTGATATATAATTATTATTATTCTAGATCATATCTCAAAAATTGTTCAAGATACCTTTATAACACTTTTACATTCATCAACCTATTATTTTATTTTCCGATGACCGTCGTTCCGACCTAGCCCTAACGCTTACCCTAACCTACAATCACGTGCTGTAACCTTAGATCTCGGCAACATTAACGAAATTTTGAGTTGTCCTTAAGAAATAGATGAGCTCAAGCAATCAAATATCTTATCCCGGCTAAGCCTTATAGGAAAAAAAACCTCGTCACTGAACCCCGTATAGGTATTCACCCAAAACATACCTACATATGTGCGAATCCCATCAAAGCAGTCACCATATTAAGACTAGTTTGAACATTGTAGCTGAGTTAATAGTGTTACTGGCAGACCCTTTTAATAGTCCCCTGCGTCATTAGATTGCACAATAAATTTAGTTGTATATTAGGTGTATTATTGTATCTCACTTTGGTATGTATATTAAAAGGCTTACCCTTTCTAAAATCTGTGTAAATTTTCGTTTAATTCTTTCACCATTCAGTCCAATGTTAACATTATTGGTTGTCATCATTTCATATTTTACCGACGTCACATGTTTGTATGAATCGTAGACATTTTTCAACATGGCTCCTAAAATACCTTGACCTTGGTAACGCTCTTTAACACGTGCAGCCGCGGTTGCTATGGTTGCGCCGCCGTCTACCAGTCTATCTGCATGAAAAGTCACCTATAAAAATATCACAAGTAAAGGAGATGAAGTGGCATCAGATAAGCCAGAACAAGAATACCGTGATGAAGTAGGCTATTTATTTCGGCCAAGTGGAGAACCGTGATCAATAACAAGCATATCTACGAAAACAACGGAAACGGAAGTAACCGGCCTTACGATACAAAGGATTGGATAATAATAGTAATTGGTTCACAGATCACCAATTATCCCCCCCCCCCCTGTGACTTCAATGTTAATTCCTGGCTCTTAGACCGGCTCTACCCCCCACCAGGAGGGCTTTAAACCCAGGTTTATTTCACTTGTAACTTTTCCCTCTTGATCAAAAGCAGGTATGAGGTTCATCATGTGGAAACTTGTGATGCACAACCCGAATATAGCCTATAAGTAACAATGGAACTGTTCGCCCTACATTTCAACATAACTGACCTCTTCACTCTCGTATCCGGCCGTCTTAAAATCATGAATGTTCACCAAAACCTGGCAGAATTTTTATAGTCAAACCATTTTCTTTGATTCTACACATAATGGAATAGGAAAACGGAGAGAAAGACTAAAAATAACTCTGGCCCGTGTAGGAATAATTGGTGAGCTGCGTCCATTTGGTGTGATAAATCAAGCGAAACACTGTAGGAAGGTGGAGTGGAGCCTCCAGTATGATCATTTAAGCATACTGTAGTGCGTGTGACCAATAACCAGCTTATCTAAGCAAACAAAGGGTAAAAAATCAAACTATACACTGTCAGAAGTATGACCATACGGTCCGATACACTTACAATTTCACCATCTATTTCACCAACATAGCAGTTGAACTTTTTAAAATATTTTTCATACTTTGCAGGAAGATAATCTCGTCCTTGATAAATCTCTCCAATATCCATAACGCCCTGATAATCTTCTAATGTAGCTCGTCTTATGATTAGTCTGTCCGCCATGTTCCTTTATAAACACTAATAAAAGAATAAAAGTCTCCTTAAAGGCTCAATACCACTCTTGTTGTAACTGAATAATATGTCCCAATCTTTATTCTGGTCAACAAATTGTACTATTTTAGAATATTTCAATTAATTGATGATACAAATTTCATCTTAACACACCTTATTTAAAAATTTTGAAAAATTCAACATAATGGTTTGAAACGTCTAACGTAAACCTTTTCAAATGAAACTTCGATTTAAAAATATTTTCGAACCCTCTGGACAAGTAAAATGGGATGTAATGGATAATTTACACAACAGGTAGGACACTTAAACATCTAGTACTTAGATAGAGATATTATTTATTTTCTGGAGCTTTCAAGCCAGCAAGAGTGTTATTGTCCCTTTAAGTTTTGGTCATGTTAAACTTTGTTTCGTGTCTCTTTTCTATGGAGAGAGAGATGGGGGTTTGACATCCAATCGACACAGACTAGGTCATTTCGTGACTAACCCATGGTTCAACTTTATTTCAATAATTCGCTTACGCGTAGGGGTCTTTAGCAGTGGAAGGAAACCGGAGGACCCGGAGAAAACCCACGGGGTCGGACAGGCGGCCTTAATCCTTGTCACGTACAACTGGGGAATCGAAACCACGCCAGTTGACTCAATGACAGTCCTTATGTTGCAGCGCTCACGTGCTAACCATTCGGCCATCCAACACCCCTTTTTTCTATATTTCTACTTCTTTGTCTCGTGTTAACGATAGTGATGCGTTATCGAATTGTATGTCATGTTTACGGTAAAACCGAGCTACCGAAAAACAATGTCATTAACGGTAAAAGCAAGTTGTCGACAGCAGGTCATGTTTACGGTAATGACGAGTTACTAACGTGTATGTCCTATTACGGTTATAACGAGTTACCGAACTATCGGTAATGAATTACCGATTTCTAAATGGTAACACAATCATGTTACAGTATATTTCGGGAAATAATGGAATGAAATGGGGTTTAACGTCCTACTGTTCTGCTCCAAACAGGGCTCATGAAGACGGGCATACGCCATACAGTGTGCTATGAGGGGAAATTCTTCCCGGACAGCGGTACTATCGCCTACTCTTATATCGAATTCCAACTGTCAAGAGATCTTTAACGTGCACGCCAATGTGTACACGGGACTAGATAACCGTCCTTGTCAGACCCTCCGTCCTGCATCATTGACAAGGAGGGACCACGCCGGAAAAGCGCCTTACCCGCTTAGCCACCGTGACCCGATTTAACAACATGCATGTCGTGTTTGCTGTAAAAACGAATTATGTTTATGATTACCGACTAGGACAGTCATGGCACAAGCTAACATTTCTATAGTTCAACAATTATTTTTACACTAAGATTGAGTCATCAACATTTCGCGCATATGTATAGCAAAACTAAGTTGACGGTTTATGCGATATGCTGCGAAAACAAAACATGAAGGAGCGGACGGACGGACAGACGGGGTACATTCAAACATCGCTGCCTTAACGTCGTACAAAGCGGATAAAAATATGACTTGAAACTACGAAATGTGTAAATACCGTATTTTATAAGTAAACCAATTTATGGAATGAGCTGTCAATAATACCCATCTACAGTCCGAATATCTGCATGTTTGTTAGCTACATGATTTCACCAAATAAAAAGTTTTATTAGGTGTTCTAGAAAGTGTATCCGTCCACATACACATCTGTAGACTATAGGATATTTGTCATCTGTGAAATAGGATGTCGAAACCCTAATGGTCGAGTAGTGATAAAAATCAAAGCAAACAATATATAACAAATGTGACACAGAAGGCCACGTCTTTCAAAACAACCAATCATTACTTAAGTTAAATGTGTTTACTTTTAGTTAACACCGATCCCATCCCATTTCGCTCTGTCTATCGTGAAAACTTACCTTTTAAGTTGATCTGAATTTATCCACAAGTAACTCTCAAATAATGGCGATATGGAGAGTATAAAACATCTGTAGCCATGACCTAGATTATAAGGGCTCCCTTATCTACTATAAATTGGCGATATATGTCCTAAACAGTCACTATGCCCTGACCTATATTGTAACAGATTACCCGATTGCTGTAAAATATGTTATGTAAAAAGTAATGGCGATATGTATAGTATAAGACATCCGGAGCCACGACCTAGATTGTAAGGGCTACTTCATCCCTTGTGCAGACACGTCACACGAAAAACATTGTCGGCAACAAAGGATATTCTAAGACCCAAACATAAATTGGTTTTTGGATGCATAATTTTATTCAAATACGATCATACTACAACTTGTAAGGAGTGAATAATAATCAGAGTAAAAAAAAAATATTTGAGGTATTAACAGTGACGATATGAAATCTAAGTTATTTTTGAAACCATACAAATCAACAATTACCTAATTTTCATTTCCATGTAGATTCGTCTTTTTATGAGGTTGCTGGAGTGAGTACCTAGATTTGCTCTCAGTTCCAGAATACTAGAATGACCAACACAATGTCATCAGTAAGAAAGATTCCAAATACAAAGCTAGCGCTGAGCGCAGAACAGATTAGACACCTGTAACCAGAAAAATTTTCAAAGGAAAGGGGAGGGGCCACAAGGGATCTTGTGGCCGATAATGTAATACACGTAGTTTCTTGTCAAATGATGAATGTTGCCATTACCCCACTTCCGTTCTATTTGACATTAAGTGTCTGGCAATGTATAAAATTATTGCTACACAATTATGAACCATTTCCTCACAAACGTTAAAGATACATCATGTAAGATTTAGATAAAGGGCTAGCCATTCTTGCTATAATAGTTCAAAAATAGATAATGTAAAACGAATAATTTGAAAATGTCATTCAAATTACTCTATTGCGAGCGAAGATATTAGCCTTTGAAGGTTTGACAAGACGTGTGCAATAATTTCAACCACCATACTGGTTGTTCGAAGCTAAGTATCGCTCCTCCATTTTTAGATTAATTCCAAATATGACTGAGTGTTCTAATCTATTTAATATCGGAGAAATCCGATGCCATCGAGAGGTGATTACGGCCTGGATAAGTCAATTAATATCTAATTAATAATTTAGAAAACATTTCAGGCCTCGAGAAAGACCTGCAATAGGCAGATTTAGCTCTTGCATAATGTATGTTTAAGGATATGGTCGTGGGGTCCCGAAATACCCCTTGTAATTGTATACGCACAAGGGTTATCTACTATAAATTGGCGATGTATGTCGTATGTCACTATGCCCTGACCTATATTGTTAAAGGTTACCAGATTGCTATAAAATATATTATATAAGACCGTGAGATAAAAAAGGATGTAGACCATGGTGTTACCTTCTCAACCTGAAAAAATATTCCCTGTTAAAACGTATTGACTACTCTACGTCGTAGTAAATTCTACACGTTTAAGTGTAAATTTTCGTACGTAATTGCTGATATATATTTATGACCAAGTACTGATAAACATATTTATATAAAAAGAGTATTTTACATAATATTGACAGATAGCATGTGTCATTTTATGGAGTGAATGAAATGGGGTTTAACGTCCTACTGTTTTGCTCCGAACTGGGCTAATGAAGACGGGCATACGCCATACAGTGTGCTATGAGGGAAATTTTGCCCGGACAGCGGCACTACGGCCTACTCTTATATCGAATTCCAACTGTCAAGGGATCTTTATGTGCACGGCAATGTGTACACAGGACCTCGGTTTTTCGTCTCATCCAAAGGACTAGACAGCTGTCCTTGCCAGGCCCTCCGTCCTGCATCCTGTAGAGTTAAACCAAGTTTCTTCTTCCTGCACTGATACTCCCAAGTTAAGCCTTATCTCTTATACCGTTCAGACGCTTATTTTTAAACAAGTTCAAAATCGCCGGGTTTTTTTAAGACAGGGAAGGTGTTGCGTTCACACGTACTATAACCAAACCAGTGTAACTATCATGGCCTCTTCGATTGGAGTTAGCCACGCATGGGTAGCTTCATATTCTTTACTCGGTTCACGGCACGCTTTCGATAATCCTAGCACTGCATGACGCCACCATTTTCCCAGGAATATAACTTACTGCGTACTACGCATATCCAAAGCGAGTTGGGGATGTTTTTTTTTAAGCCAACCCGTTCAGAAGGCTAATATGTATGGAAGACCAAATGGGACAATATTCATGATTCTTGTTTCTACATTCCAGTTTGAACATTTTAGACACGAACGCAACATTCTAAACTAATGATTTTTGTTTCTACATTCTTATGTCAACATTTCATGCACAAAATCAACATTATAAACACAAAATTGACTTTATGTTTCATTTTCGGCGTTTTATCGGTAACTTTTATATATCATTAAATATTAAAATTAAAAAATAATTTCTTAATTTTACACGACAAAAAATTAATTCATTGGTTTCTGAAAGTATCTAAAAAAATCTGGAATTTGAACTCTTATGAAAATATTTTCTACGTTTCAAAAAGTCTTGAAGTTAAAATCTTGAAATGAAAATGTCCAGAAAAATATAATGAATTATCAACATTATTACACCAGAGGGCGTTAGCGTATGTGTACAACTTTAATACAGACTATAGATTAGAAACCAAAAGTAGACTTTTCCACGAGTGGAAGTGGGCCCCTGTTGTGTGCACAGTATATAATAACAATACAAATAACTTCTATAATTTAAACAGCTAGAAAAATTAGGACAAAGGCCTTTCTTACATATTCGCTGTTATTTGTTTATTATCATCCATTTTTGCCACATTCGAAACACGCGTAGGTCTAATTTGCAAACACTATCCTATAGTTATAGTTAATATGAAAAAGTAAACAAATAACAGTGAATAGATTCAATTTAAAACACAGCATTTTTGCCATATTCGAAACACGTGTAGGTCTAATTTGTAAACGTATGAAAAAGTAAACAAATAACAGCGAATATGTAAGAAAGGCCTATAAAAGTTACCGATAAAACGCCGAAAATGAAACATAATGTCAATTTTTTGTTTAAAATGTTGATTTTGTGCATGAAATGTTGACATAAGAATGTAGAAACAAGAATCATAGTTTAGAATGTTGCGTTCATGTCTAAAATATTCAAACTGGAATGTAGAAACAAGCATCATGAATATTGTCCCATTTGGTCTTCCATAAATATGAACCAGTTTAAAAACCTTCTCGAAGACAGGTCGCGAGCTGGGGGTGTTAAACTGGATTAATTGCCCCACATTTGCGCTCAGACGACAAAGTTAAACTGGTGTAACGATCACCGGGATTTTTAAACCAGTTCAACTTAAGCTTAAGTCTGCACGGACTATCTGTTAGATTGACATGCAGGGCGGATAGTTTCATAGAGCACAAATTAATCGAGATATATATATATATGTTCATAAAGCGATTTTGTTTTGGGATGAAAAATAAACAATAAGATTATTGCCATATAAAAACAGAAAAAGAAAATAAAAACATATAATAAAATATTACCGGATTAATTATTTAAACACACGTGTATATCCAAATGCTGTATCAAATATATACATAACCGAAACGTTTCATGGAAATTAAACGTAAATGCAGACATCCATGACAATGCTCAGCTTAAGTGCAGTGTAAGTAATAAAAACATCGTGTAAATGATGTAACTACAGGTGAATTAGATACAATGATAGTACGTCTTTATGGAAAAGTAAGTGGACAACTGGAACCAGTTGACACAACGCACAAACCCCGAATGCGTCACGCCGTTTTAAAGACCGTTACAAACTAAAGTTCTATTAATTGGGACAGTTTTTAATTTTGCATATACTTTTTCATAATAAAGAAACCCTTTTCCGGGTGTTAACTCAATTTATGTCTTTCTTGGTAACGATTATACTAAATCAACAGTAGATTCCTCGTCGGTTTCAGATATAACTCGAACCCCTTCTTTTTGCTTCAATATATTGTTCTAGTTCGTCCAATCTGTCATTGAAAAGCATTTACCTTCACACCATTTCCAAGCGGGGCAGTTCTAGTGGAACCAACAAGATCGGCTACTGCAATCTCCATTGTCTTATATGGTCTCCGTACGGTTGTTATAATTAGGGCTTATCCAAAGTTTACCTCCGTGAAAAAAAATCATTCATTTATCCACGTGTGGATCCAAACCGTTGTGAGTGTCAAAACAAAGCTCTGTGTATAATACTCCCAAGTTTCCATAAAGTCGACCCAACACATTGCCACGTATACTCCAGCGATCGAAACTACAGCGTGGGCTAGGATGGGTGATTTTCAGGTTAAGGCGCCCGTAATAACCCAGAAAACGTCATTACGCAATTACAAAACGTCTTTTAATGGTTTGAAAATATAGGGGCTTTGACTTATGGAGACCACCACCATCACCACCCTGCGGAGATACGCATCTGGCAGCAAGATAACAGCAAATTGTGCCTTTTCTTCGCAATACTTACTCATGATCAGCTCGTTGGTTAATTTTAAGACTTCTCGGCTGTTAAAATGCCCCCGGCTAGCACCCTCTTTCCGCCTGACAGGTCTTTTGAAAATCCCACAATATTATCATAAAGACATTAAAGAAGGTCGTTAAGGGACTACACTCCACTCTACTACTCCCTACCGGGGATACGCATCTGTCAGGAATTGTGTTTATATATAGTCAATAGCAAAATACAAAATGCTTCTGGTCGTTCAGATGGGAAGCAACATTTAAATAAGTGGCGTCCATAAAACAGATCCCGTGTTTACTACCGGTCTGACAGCTAGGCAGGCAGTCAATTAAATTTAAATGTAACATCATAAATCTAATCCCGATCAATTTATTTCCAATCAATTTACTATATCATGATCATAAATTGATTAAAATAATTACAATTTACTATATTATCATCAGATAATTACAATTTAATATATCATCATCATAAATTATTCAAATAATTACAATTTACTATATTATAATCATAAACCGATTCAAATAATTACAATTTACTATATTGTAATCATAAATTGATTCAAATAATTACAATCAATCTACTATATTATAATCATAAACTAATTTAAAAACCTGCAACCAATTTGCTATAATTATTATAATCCTAAAATGATTCAAAAATAATTACAATTAAATGTTGTATTCAATATTTGTTTTTTTTTTTACTAATTTTATTGCTGCTTTTAAAGTTATCTTATTGTCCGTTCAAATGCAACCAACCTATTTATATCAAACTCTTTGTTTATTTTGAGACCAACGTTTCGAAACACCGATAAAAATGATGTATCTAGACAATCTAACGGATGAGTTATGTGAATGATAATAGATGTACTGGTTCCGCTTCTAACCAACTGATTCAGGTTTTGAATATGTTTTAGAACGTGTTGCTGTATATCAATTGCATCATTGCCATAAATACAAAGTGTGAACATCAACTCCTTCCCTAGGTTATATTTGTGTGTAACTGTCAGTGTCTTGTACGTTGATTGGTCGGAACCTTTTGTACCCCAGAATTTAAACCCGTCCATCATTAGAGGTATATTCTGAGGTATCAGACGAAATGGATAGCCACTCGGTAGTATTCGTTCTCCTGGAAATAATTTGGAACACATGGCTTTAGATTGGAATATTTTCTTTAAATCCCAAGATGTCAGTTCTTGAACTTTATTTTCGTCAGATTCAAATTTATTTAGTTTCAAATCCTCTACTTTCCCAAGCATTTCCAATTGTTCCTGAAAAAGAGAAATTGATAAAAAGTAAAACGACATGTATTTCTGGTTAAATCTAAATGTTAAGGCCAACTACAGACTTCGTCAAGGTCACTAGATGTCAACAGGGCTAACCCTAACCCACAATCCTCGGCAACAATCACTTGCCCTAACGTTGTTTAGAATACGTGACCAGTGTCTGATTCTCCTAAAACGGCGAATGGCGATCGCCAAAAAATAGGACTCATGCGACTTGATGATCGCGATTCCTTTATTCCCCGCTTATTTTTTTATTCTGCTGTAAAATTAGAACTACCGGAAAATTCACAACGAAACGAAGAAATGCCATGTGCTGATAATACGAAAAGGCGTATATTTTATGTGTCATTAAGGACATGTCTTCTGCCCACTGTAAAAGAAACATTGCCGATAAATTAGATTTATTAAGACACATTCGCGATCGGCAGTGTTTCGTTTTCTTTAATAAATGCAACAATTCAGACGAATCTACCCATTTAAATTATCTTGAAATCTTTAATTTTGGTCGAAAAATTGCGAATAATCATTATTAATTCACCAGCGTAGAATTACCACATGGCATTTAAAATATACACCTTCTCGTATTATCAGCACATGTCATTTCTTCGTTTCGTTGTGAATATCACGATAGTTCTAATTTTTACAGCAGAATTTAAAAAAACCGCGGGAAATAATGTAATCCTGAACATCAAGTCGCATTATCCCTATTTTTTGGGGCGTTCGCCATTCGCGGGTTTAGGAGAATCACAGCCACCGTCCCGTAATCAAGACGAAATGTGCAGGTGACCTTAATATTTAGATCTGACCACGCAATACAACCACAATAAGCTGATAACAGTTCACTATTCAACAGTACCCAAAACAAACAAATATATATATTCTGGATATTCAGGATTCGGTGTTCGACTTTGTAATATCCAAATTGAACACATTATGCAGGTATTACCCGATGTTCATACACTATATATAATTTTTATACGCCCAGAATTTAACTGGACTTTGAGATGGCCGTTTGGACTTTAATTCTAAATCCTGATAATCTCGAAGTCAAAACACCAGCCCGGTTCGTAAAGCAAAATGTTTGTGTTCATTTCGCTCCAGAGCCTCGTTTAACATGGTGACTAGGCGGCGCCGCCGCCACGCACTGGCCAAACTGTGCCGCCTACTGGGCCCAAAAGTTGAAGACTGGGCGGCAACATACATACGTTTTGAAAATCGCTGACAAGGTTTTTCCCATGTGCCAAGCATGCCTGAGGCTGATAATCTGCCATGTCCCTGGCTGGCCGAACCAGTCAGCAGCCGGTGCAGCGAGGTTCCCGTGGTCTCACTTTGGAACGAGAGTCCTGTCAGTTTCATGTCTGGTATCCATGTATCAAATCTCTGAAACTATTTTTTAAGTGCTCAGAAATCGAATCTAATGGAGTCAATTTTCAAAATTTTCTGCCTCAGGGGCCCCCAGACCCCCCGCGCGGGTGCACACCTGTGGTGTTCGCGCGACATTGCCGCGCACGACCAAATCCTTAGACGAGGCTCTGTTTCGCTCAGTATGTTTGCAAAGTTTTAATTAGGCATAGATTATATTTTTGTATTTATGACAAGCGGCTTACCCTTTCTAAAATCTGTTTAAATTTCCGTTTTATTCTTTCACCATTCAATTCAATGTTAACATTATCAGTTGTCATTGACACATACTTCACTGATGTCACATCTTTGTATGAGTTGTCGACATATCTCAACACGTCTGACAAAATTCCACGACCTCGGTATCCCTCTTTGACCCGTCCACCTGCTATAGCTATAGTAGCACCTGCATCTACCAATCTATCGCTTTGGAAAGTTACCTATAAATATAACAGGTGTTCCTTACAAACCACTACGTATATTACAGGTAAAGACCACCGATACTAGGAGTTTTAGAAGAGTGCATTTAGCGATTGATTTCGGAATCTGAGAAGGGTTCACTAGTCTGCGGATGCATTAGTCCGCCGCTATAAAAAAAATAATATAAATATGGGTATTAAAAAACCCAGCAGGTATTGTGGCTGATTGGTATCGCCCTTCATAAGGCGATAACCCGACACCACAACATTAAAAATGTAATGTCGCGGAAAAGGGATCAGTGTACATATATTAAGGCCGACATTTTAACGCGACATTATGACATTTTTAATGTCGTGGTGTCTGGTAAAAATGTATTGTCGGGTTAATACCAATATCCACTATACCTGCTGGATTTTTTTATACCCATATTTATAGTATTTTTATAGCGGCGGACTAGTGAACATTCCTCCGGAATCCGGTTAACGGCCGGCTCGTGAACATGTGCAAAGTAACGTCTTTGATTAGCTAAGCAAATAAAGGGAAGTAACTACACATGGTATAAAACAAATTCCTTGTTACAGTTGTATAGGGCGTGATTAATAAAACCAAACACTGCGAGAAGTATGGTTACCCCCCAATAAACTCACGATTTCACCATCTATTTCACCAACATAGCAGTTGAACCATTTTAAGTATTTATCATACAATGCAGGAAGATAATCTCGTCCTTGATAAATCTTTCCAATATCCATAACACCCCTATAGTCTTGTAAAGTTGCTCGTCTTATGACCAGTCTGGCTGCCATGGTGATAATTTAACACTTTCTAAAGAATAAAACATTGATGGTTTTAAAATGTTGCGTGGTTCTCTTCTCTTTCCAGGCTCGTAGCTAGCGGGGAGGGGTGGGACAGCTGCCTCTGAAAAAATTGGCGCACTCAATGGTGCCTTTGCCCATTTGGGAAAGAATCGGTTGCCCATATAGGCGCCCTTTCCATTGGACGCAATACGAAGCCAGCGAGCAAAGTGACTCCCCACCCCCGCTAGCTACGGCCCCCAACCCCTGCTGGCTACGGGCCTGTTTTCGTATTTACAGTGTGGAAATATTTCATAACATTTTACGGGAATAACGAATTAACCACTTGTTTGTCATTTACGCGGTACTTTTTAGTTAACCACCTATGGAATTAGTTGTCTAGTAGTAAAATGTTATTTACAAGCTAAAAATAAAGCATTACTTACTTTAATTGTGTTTAATGACGTTTGACATGTTGCATAATTCGACTAGAAGGTCAAATAATGGCAGTAGAGAATCCGCCCTGATTATCTCGTTGTGTTTATGGCTATGTGTTATTACAATAGAGAGAGAGAGAGAGAGAGAGAAATGGGGTTTAACGTCCAATCGACACAAACTAGGTCATTTCGGGACTAACATATGGTTTAATTTTTTTTTATTTCAATAATTCGCTTGCGCGTAGGGCTCTTAAGCAGTGGGAGGCAACCGGAGGACCCGGAGAAAACCCACGAGGTTGGACAGGCGACCCTACTCCTTGTCACGTACAACCGGGGATTCGAAACCACGCCAATTGACTCAATGACAGACTTTATGATACAGCACGCGCACGCTAACCATTCAACCATCCAACCCCCATAGGGGTTGTAACATATACCGTGCGTCGACATAGTGAGACTGATAGATATTATGTGTCATTTTATGACTTATAGCGAAGAAATGAGGGGTGTGCAGAACGGTTTCATGAAAGCAAAAAAGCGCAAAGTTAACCCGAGCTTTTATTCTCTTCATTTACACCATATGGGGGGAGGGACGAATAGGTCTCTGTCCCCCCCCCCCATGATTTTGATCGCCAGGACAGATTTTCAGGTTTGTATCCACATGATGGTGAGCTTGTTCTACGTATCTGGAGCTGAATCGGGACTTGGAAACAAGAATTGCCATTCTTCAAGCGCCAGTTTTCGGCCAAATCTATTTCACTTGTGCACGAAGCGTTCCTCATTATGTCACCTGAAGTGAGGCAGACGTTCCCTTCTGTCGAAGCTCTTCTCATCTCACACTGCTGAACCCTGCTAGTTCTTACTCAGCCGAGCGATCCTTCAGCACTCTGCGCCGTATCGAAACTTTGCTGCGCAACTCCATGTCACAAAACCGACTGAGCCACTTCATGGCGTGTGCGGTGCATAATTACCCCCTTTATGTCGCCAAGATATTCAAAGAGAACAGTCCTGATCGTAGAACGAACGTATTTGGACGATTCACTTAACTTTACGAACAATTAATATTTATGCAGCTTTGTTTTTTCCATATTGTCATCATATTACCCCTAGTTACAGCCTCCATTGAAATAACACTGGTACAGTAAACTGTTCGTAATTTTTTATTTCATTTGGTAATGAAATGTTCCAGATTCCAGGGTTCGTCCGTCCCCCCACCCCCCAAAAAAAGTCATGACAAATCCACGCCCTTGATTTAAACCCTCAAGTTAAGCCTGATCCCGAATATTACACTCACCTGAATCGTTAAAACAGCCTACACATACTACACATACATATCCACGTCCAACGATACAACATTTTATAACGCTATTCAAACTTAATAATGCAGAAAACTACATTAGAGTTTACTAGATGTGATAGTGCAGAAAACTACATTAGAGGTTACTAGATGTAAATGTTCTATGTAGATTATGCACTGTTAGAGATAGATCAGTATTAAAGGACAATATTGGTGCCAGTCATTATCACATATGTGATAGAGCTGGTTAAACACATTCCAAATATAATATAAGAATTGACTGCCACTTGATAAGAAAACACGAAATAAAAACAGAAAAAGTCCGTGCATTACCATGTTTTTATAAGGTATAGAATGAATATAAACAAGGGAATGTACGGACTATTTCTATTTTTCTCGTGTTCTCTTATCTAATGACATTCAATTACTTTATTGAATTGTGAGGTATCCTCTTACAGTCCCATATAACAACTTTTGGTCTTCGAAGGAATTATTAGTGAGCAGAAATTCAGCCGTGTATCTGTGATCACTCGTCACATCAGTCAGTTATATAGAAGCATGACTCGTGTTTTTTTTTGGTGTTCGTCACTTCCGATTCAGGAAACCTGTATTACTCAGCTATCGTAGCAATGATCTATGTGTTAAAATTATATTTGGAATGTGTTTAACCAGCTCTATCATGTGATAATGACTGACACCAATATTGTCCTTTAAGCACTGTATACAGACACGTGTAAGCTTATACCGTTGACTAATGAAGCTATGCCTTTTAGTAATGACAATTTTTGTCATTAACTCATATAAGTGGTCAGTATTCTAAACTAATGTTTAGTATGTATAGAAAGTGGTTAGAAATTATACAGTTGTCATTAATTAGCAAGTGTGTAACTAGCTGTAAAAACTATTTATATCATTCAACAGTCACAGTTTTAACACCTTAGTGACAAAACACCTACTTAATGACTTCTGCCTGGTTACTAACAATTTTAACTAATACGCATTATGTATATAAACTGATGACTTTGATCTATTAGTGTCGTATATTTGCATTTATAACAGTTATTTGGTGCTTAGTCAACGATATCAACGTTACAGTGAGAGGAGGCTTTGTGTTCTACAAAGTTATAGTTGTCATGCGATGTTATCTCGATTGATATATTTGTCTATTAATCATTAACCGAATAATATTATTTTTTATAAACATATATATGTATGTTATATTCCATGTACTATGGGTCTATGCCATTGGATCACTGAATAAAGCATTGTTATTATTACTATTATAAACTGCATTAAAACGGGGAAATAGTTCAAATGTGGACACAGGAATCACGATTTTTGCACAGATACTCACTCCCCTAGGACTATATTGAAAAATCCCATTAGCCACTAGAAAATCCAAGATGGCGGCGTTCTCAAGATCAAGTCGACTTTCAGGCAACGTCGCGATATATATTGCGAAAACGTAACCCCAAATTAAAAGTCCAAAACTGCTCAACTAGTCTCTTATGGTCAGCGCTCTTTTAGTTTTCAAGCACCTATTTTATGAAATAATCTACCATGGATCAATTTACTATATTATAAACATAAATTGATTCAAATAATTACAATTTATAAATTGAATTTACTATATTATAATCATAAATTGATTCAAATAATTACAATTTACTATATTATAATCATAAACTGATTCAAAAATTACAATTTACTATTATAATGATCATAAATTGATTTAATAATTACAATCAATATACTATATAAAAAACTTGCAACCCATTCAAAAATAATTACAATTAAAGATACATTATGTAAGATTTAGATAAAGAACTAGCCATTCGTGCTATAATAGTTCGAAAGTAGATGATGTAAAATGAATAATTTGAAAATTTCATTCAAATTACTCTATTGCAAGCGAAGATATTAGCCTTTGAAGGTTTGACAGACGTGTGCAATAATTTCAACCACCGTACTGACTGATCGAAGCTAAGTCTCGGTCCTCAATATTCGATTAAACCAAAGTATCAATTCTAATCTATTTAATATCGGAGACATCTGATGCCATCGAGAGTTGATTAAGGCCTGGATCAGTTAATTAATGTCTAATTAATACTTTAGAAAACATTTCAGGCCGAAAGAAAGACCTGCAATAGGCAGATTTAGCTCTTGCATACTGCATGTTTAAGTGTTGTATTGAATATTTTCTGTTTTTTTCTTCTTCTAATTTTATTGCTGCTTTTAAAGTTACCTTATTTTCCGTTCAAACACAATCATCCTATTTTGAGCAAACTCTTTGTTTATTTTAAGACCAACTTTTCGGAAAACCGATAAAAATGATGTATCTAGATAATCTAACGGGTGAATTATGTGAATGATAATAGATGTACATGTTCCATTTTTAACAAACTGATTCAGGTTTTGAGTATGCTTTAGAACGTGTTGCTGTATATCAATTGCATCATTGCCATAAATACAAAGTGTGAACATCAACTCCTTCCCTAGGTTATATTTTTGTGTGACCGTCAGTGTCTTGTACGTTGTTTGGTCGGAACTTTTTGTGCCCAGAATTTGAACCCGTCCATCATTAGAGGTATATTCTGAGGTAGCAGTCGAAATGGATAGCCACTCGGTACTATTCTTTCTCCAGGAAATAATTTGGAACACATGACTTTAGATTGGAATATTTTCTTTATATCACCAGGTGTCAGTTCTTGAACTTTAGTTTCGTCAGATTCAAATTTATCAGGTTTCAAATCCTCTACTTCCCCAATCATCTCCAACTGTTTCTGAAAATGATAAAAAGTAAAACGTCAGGTATTTCCGGTTAAATCTAATTGTTAAGGCCACCTACAGATTTCGTCAAGGTCACTAGATGTAAACAGGGCTAACCCACTAGGCAAACCTCGGCAGATTCCGTTACTCTACATCTCGCCTCGGCTGTATGACGGTAAGTGATATGTAACTACGTCCATACAATTGCGATGCGGCACCGGTTTTCTTATTAGGAAAACTTGCCGCTTTTAAAAAGAAGTTATTAGGAAAACTTGCCGCTTTTAAATAGAAGTTACCAAAATTGCGTCGTTCGGCCCGTGTTTAGAAAATTTTCAGTACAAAGTTGTCCTTGTTTGAAAAAAAATCGGATAAACTTGAAAGAAAAACAGCTTCAGACTTTGAAATATTTGTATGATAAAAACATTTTTCAAGTGCGTGGTCATGGTGACCGCGAGGCAAAATGTACAGGTGACATTAATATTTAGATCTGACCCCGTAAACCTGGAATACAACCACAATAAGCTGATAACAGTTCACTATTCAACAGTACCCAAACAAACAAATGTACATGTACATATTCAAGTTTCGATTTTCCAACATTGTAATATCAAACAAAAATTGTAGAGCTGATAATGTGTGCAGCCTGTCAAGCGCCCACTCAGTCCCCAGAATTTAACTGGATTTTGAGATGGTCGTTTGGGCTTTAATTCTGAATCCTGATAATCTCGGGAGTATAAACACCAGCCCGGTTCGTAAAGACAGTTTCGCTCAGTTTTCTGCAAAGTTTTAATTAGGCATAGATTATACTTTTGTATTTATGACAAGCCGCTTACCCTTTCTGAATCTGTGTAAATTTCCGTTTTATTCTTTCACCATTTATTTTAATGTTAACATTATCGGTTTTCAATGTTAAATATTTCACCGATGTCGCATCTTTGTATGAGTTGTCGATATATCTTAACACGTTTGACAAAATACCACGACCTCGGTATCCCTCTTTCACCCGTCCAGCTGCGATCGCTATAGTAGCACCTGCATCTACCAATCTATCGCCATGGAAAGACACCTTTAAATATAACACATGTTCTTTATAAACCACTACGTATATTACAAGTAAAGAGCATCGGTACTAGTAGTTTTAGAAGAGCGCATTTAGCGATTGATTTCGGAAGCTGAGAGGGGTTCACTAGTCTGTCGTGATGTCGCTTACAAAGGATCAGTGTACATAATAAAACTGTATATTGAGGGGAAGAAGGCTGATAACCCGACATTTTAACAGGGTCAGAAGACTACATTTAGCGATTAATTTCTGAGGGATGCATCGTGTAAAAACGCGATTTTTCGTACAATCTGGGGCCATTATTCAGGAAGTTATGGTCCGATATG